GATCCTGCCCCTCTCCTCAGCCCTGGGGAGGCCTCCCCCTGGAGTAGTGTGTCCAATTGTGGGCTCCCCAGGGCAAGAGAGACATGGCAGTACTGGAGAGAGTCCAGCGGAGGGCTCCAAAGATGATGAGGGGACTGGAGCATGTCTCCTCTGAAGAAAGGCTGCGAGAGCTGGGCCTGTTCAATCTGGAGAAGAGAAGACTGAGAGGCGATCTCATCAATGTGTACAAGTATGTGAAGGGGAGGGTGTCGAGAGGATGGGGCCAGACTCTTCTCCGTGGTGCCCAGCAGCAGGACAAGAGGCAGCGGGCACCAACTGTGACATAGGAAGTTGCATCTGAGCATGAGGAGAAACTTCTTGACTGTGAGGGTGCCTGATCAGTGGAACAGGTTGCCCAGAGAGGTGGTGGAGTCTCCTTCCCTGGAGATATTCAAAACCCGTCTGGACGGGGTTCATGGGCAACGTGCTCTAGATGAGCCTGCTGGAGGAAGGGGAGGTTGGACTAGATGATCTCCGGCAGTCCCTTCCAACCTCAACCATTCTGTGATTCTGTAACTTTTCCATGTTGCTCACAGTTCTTTAGCTGTCAGCCAAAAAATCTGTGGCTTTATTGGTATCATTACATAAACTTCAGTAATGATTTCATTCTTATGTGAATTACTCATTTCCTGTGTCAGTGTGATCCAGCTGGTAGTAAACCCATTGCCTGGGTCTGGCCTGTCACCTGACTTCCTGAGTCACCAAATACTTTCTTATGGCCTTAAAGCGCACTAGCACAGGTGGGAGATGTTGCCACCTCCTCTTGAGAGATTAGCTGAAGGCATATCTTTGTGTTCCTCTAATGTATAGCTTATTGAGGGTGGCTTGGTACATGGTGTTGCTGCTGCAAGGCTTTCCAAAGGTTTCCAGAAGGTTTTCCAAAACTGTGTTGTGGTTTCAGTGGTTGCAGAAGTTGAGAAAACTCTGTAAGCAGTAGGATTCATCGTTAGTAATCAGAAAATTAGGACCTCATTTTTCCTGTACACACACCTCTCTCCAGCTGTGTGCCCTCTCAGACTTTCTCAGCTAAGTTCTCTTCTGTTTGTGAGAACAGAAACCTCAAAGAGAGGTTTTGCTATTTTTAACTGGATTTTACTATCTCTGATTATCAGATTAATTGTAAAAAGATATATAAGTGTTGCTCTAGATGAAAATTTAAAGAAATTTCAGAATGTGACTGAGAAAATGATTTTTTTTTTTTTTTGGTACAGGCTTTTAGGTCCAGTTCTGAGTAAAATAAGTTCCATTATATTCTTGGTATTGTCTTACTATTTTAAAAAGAAAGTTGCCAAAGCTCCACCTCACTTTAAGCATATCACAAACAGCAGGTGGCCTTTCCCTCAGGTTTCTCTGTTCTCTCAAGGAGTGTCCTCATTGCTCCTTTTGTCTTTCCCTCTGCAGCACAAATTATAGCCTGTCCAGCTCTGAATTTACAGCCAGGCAAGTCTATGTTTAGGTTCAGTTGAGAGTGTTGTTACTTAAGGGAACTAAATAGCTTTTTTTGTTGTTGTTGAGATTGACAGAGCGCTTGATGGGGCACCCGTTGGTGTTCTAAGAATGCCTGTGGTTTTGGGGTCTCGGGCTGTGGTTCCAAAAAAAGCGTTGCTCTGATAGAAAAACAGATGCAAAAGGTTTGTGTTACTTCTATCTACTTACAGCTGCAGCTGGTTTTGGGACTGGCTCGAAACCTTAACAGGCCTGTGATTCATGTTAAAAATAGTCCCACTAAAAGACAGACTGGGTGAGGTGGGCAAGAACCTTTAAATTGGTTTTGCCAATTAAGAAGCTTTAGGCTATGGTTCTGCAGGCAGCTGAGTTGAAATAGTGGCCAAAGGGAAAGGGCTCACTGCTCCATCTTCCCTCCTCTGCTCCACATAGGTGCTCTGCCTGTGTCCTGGACTGGATAATTGTCATGTCCTGTAAATTGTTGAGCTCACTGAAGAAAAACTGCCTATTTTTGTGCTAGCTTACTGTTTTGCTGTGTTAGTGAATTAAAGTGGCCGAGAGAAGCATCTGATGGGCAGCAGTGGTGGGCAGTACACACTTAAGAGAAGGGAACAAGACGTGAAACCAAATATCCAGCTTTTAGTTCAAATCACCACATCTTCATCAAACTAGGTCAGCTGGGAGCAGGTTTTTCCTTCCCAAATTGGTCCTTTTTCAAATAAAGATGAACTTAAGCAAGGATCACGGCTTATTCCCGGAGGAGCGATCTGGGGAACTGGTAGGAACAGGAAACAACTACCTCTTAACTTTGTCCCTAGGTGATGCAGCAAGCATAGGTGTGCCTTAGTCTGTTGGTGCAGGTGCTGCATGCTAGTGATAATGAATTGCACTGCTTAGGATCCATAAGAGTAGTAAGGCTCCTGCATGAGATCCAGCTCAGACCTCCCTGAGCCAAAGCTGGCTGTGGGTGGACCTACTAGTATATTTGTGCATTGCTTCCACTAGCACTTCTGGCTCTAGATGCATGGTGTTGAGATATCCAAGTGAACTCTGCCCAGAGTCAGCTCAGGTCTCTGGAGAGCTTATTAGCTTTTTCTCTGTGGTTTATGAAAGTTGTTAACCTACTGAGCTGACCTTGGAAACAGTACATCCACCCATGTGCAAAACTATTTGTGGACTAATTAACCCTGTGTGATCAGGACTTGTTCTTCACAGAGCCATCTTCAGTGTTTCTGGACATGCTTTTGTGATACGGTTAATTTGTGATATGAATAATAACTGAGACTTGACCTTACGGAACTTGGATTGGTATGTGGATGTTGTAAGGTAGTTAGTTCTCGGATACAGGTGGCATAGGGTATAAAGGTTGGATGATGTGTTGTTGAGGATGGGGGGCAATGATGAGAGCTTTTCATACGTCATAGGCTATCATGCTATCTCAGTGCCTCTCTGCTGATGCTTAGTGAACTTATTGAAGGGTTCTCTTTCACAGTATGAGCCCTGTTAGCTGCCCTGCTCTGTATTATGCCTTGGAGCAGCAGTTCACAAAGTATATTTTCATATAACAGCCATGCTCTGCAGATCATGAAGCCTCTGTAGCATACAAAGAAGCTTGAATTGCAGCTCTCTGGTATTATTCTGCTGTTTATTTTATTGTGCCTGCTATTCTGTTCCTTTGTTTTATGATCACCCACAGACAAAACCTTGGGAACTCTGTTTTAGAGCTTACATCCCAAATGTCTATATTGTGCTGCTTACAAGAAAAGGAGAGACATTTTTGAAGACTTCAGCTGTTATCTGTAAAAAGGAGGAGAGCAGAGAAGTAGCAGAGGGAATAGCAACGTTATTGGTGGCAGACCTTCTGTGCAGAAAGCTTGTGGGGCTTGGGTAG